CACTGACATTGGGATGTCATTCGGACTAGAGAAGTGTGGTCGGATGGTTACAAAGAGAGGGAAGGTCGCACAGAAGGGGTCTCACTCCCAGAGGGAACAATAGCAGACATAGAGCACAGTTACAAGTACCTGGGAATACCACAAGCAAATGGCAACCTCGATGAGGTCACAAGGAAAGGAGCCACAGCCCTCCAACGAATAAGGCAAGTCCTGAGAAGCCAGCTCAATGGCGAGAACAAGATCCATGCAATAAACAGCTATGCCTTACCAGTAATCAGATACCATGCCGGAATAATTAGCTGCCCCATGGAAGAGATGAAGGCCACGGATGTTAAGACACCCTGAGACTGTACACGAGCCGTAAGGAAGGAGGCAGAGGACTAGTGAGTGTGAGAGCCACTGTCCAGGATGAAATATCCAAAATCCATAAATACATCAAGGACAAAGCCTCAACAGACGATGTGCTCAGCGAATGTCTCAGGCAATGGGGAACAGAAGACGAGGTGCTGGAGGAACCATCATGGGAGGACAAGCTCCTACATGGGATGTACCACCGACAAATAAGTGGCTGATATCAGGAAATCCTACCAATGGCTGGAAAAAGCTGGACTCAAGGACAGCACAGAGGCCCTCATCCTGGCTGCACAGGAACAGGCCCTAAACACCAGAGCAATAGAGGCTCAGATCTACCACACCAGACAAGACCCAAGGTGTATGTTGTGCAAGGAGAACCCTTAGACAGTCTAGCACATAACAGCAGGGTGCAAGATGCTGGCAGGGAAAGCGTACATGGAACGACATAACCAAGTGGTGGGCATAGTGTACAGGAACATCTGTGCAGAATATGGACTGGAAGCCCCGAGATCGAAGTGGGGAACACCCACAAAGGTGGTGGAGAATGACCGAGCTAAGATCCTGTGGGACTTCCAGATCCAGACAGACAAGATGGTAATGGCGAACCAACCGGACATTGTGGTGGTGGACAAACAACAGAGGAAAGCAGTTGTGGTGGATGTAGCAATACCAAGTGACTACAACATCAGGAAAAAGGAGCATGAGAAACTGGAGACATACCAGGGCCACAAGAGGAACTGGAAAAGGCCTGGAAGGTGAAGACCACAGTGGTGCCTCTGGTAGAGGACCCGAGCTCAGAGGATGAAAAGGGAATTTTTTTATAGATAGATAGATAGATAGATAGATAGATAGATAGATAGATAGATAGATAGATAGATAGATAGATAGATAGATAGATAGATAGATAGATAGATGTCTCATCGTAACATTGGACTTAATTTACTTGATTTACTTGTTGGATTACATTATGTTGTCAGGCTTCATGTCTATAATATGTGATTATTCATAAATTTTCGCCTGAGCACCGCGGTGATTGATTAGCTGATTTTAACACTGGGTCTACTGATGACTTGGTGTGTGGGTTGTCCTTTTTTAGTGCTAATGGAACCAAAACACACTGAACTGATAAGTCATGTAATGTCTAATCCAGTAATATATATTCATTCATATATACATCAGTGCTGCTGCCTCTCTGTCCTTCCATCTTCTCTCACACATGCTGCTACTTAGCAGTAGGTGTCAGGATTACTTTGTGTTGCATTCAATGTTGTCGGAAAAAGGAGATTCATGCGCTAATGTCCGATTTGCCATAACTATTTATTGAATTCATAGTCACCAGCTGTGGTGGCAACAGGGGTGGCAAGGCTCTCAGTTGGAGTGGCAACTGCCAACCCCAGCCACCCCAGTAGTTCCGCCCTTGCATGGAGGCTCTGTTTGTTGCGACTTAATATAGTTTTCTTCATAAACTTAACCTGGTTTTAATTAAGCTCAGTATGCCAAAGAGACTTTGATATTGTGAGGCTGTTATAATTCGTTCATCATTGTTTTTATCTTCAACATATTTTTGCAGTCTAATCAAATTAAGATGAAAGCCAGGGATCAAGTATTAGGAAACCTATAGATTTTCCTGTCTCAGAAGAGGCTCTAGCTCCACCAGATCACCACACTGGGATGAACCTCCACATCAGCTTTATGGTGGAAGGATTTATTTATTTTTTTTACACTGGGCAGCTGGCTAAATTTTTAACAGCAAAAACTGGTGGATTACCAACACTAAGTGCTTAATAAATATGATTTGATTTTAAAAAATATTTGGACAGAATTTATTCCCCTTGTTAATCTACCATTTCTCTTTCACACATTTTATTCTTTGTTAGCTTTCAGGGCCCTGTGATGGACTGGTTACCTGTCCAGGGTGGACCCTGCCTCTCATCTGATAACTGCCGGAGATGGGCACCACAAGCCCCTCTCACCACTCTGCAAAAATCAGCGTGTTCAGATCATGGGTGAAAAGCTTTTAAGGTAGTTTATCTCCCTTAAGTTTGCACTTAAAACAGCTTCATAGTTAAAGCCAACATCAGCTGATTCTATGATATTGCTGACTATTTTTTCTACTTCTAACATAAACAGGCAAAGAAGACACCCAGAAATGTTTTTCCACTCCAGGCATCTGGTCTCAATCATCATCAGTTCTGATGATGCCACATGCATAGCGAGTCCACAGCATCCTAAAATTGTAAGTCATACGTTTTTCTGTACTCTTTAAATTACAGTGCTTTCTCTTTTAATTGCTCTATTGCTCTTTTTTGTAGGTTTCTGTAAAGTGCAGTGGTGCAGTGAATGGGAATCTTCCGTCATTGATCCTCACTGTTCTTAGGAAGGAGAAATGTCATTTTGTCTTGAGTAATACTGGAATACTGTGATATTGAATTAAAACAATACTCTGTCCTTAGTGAAATATTTTTCATATGTCCTCTAAAGCAGTGGTCCCCAACCCCTGGTCCGTGGACCAATTGGTACCGGGCCGCGCAAGAAATAATTAAATATTTCCGTTTTGTGTATTGAGTCTGGAGGATCTTTTATTTTGAAAATCCTTTAACCGGATTCTCTCGGTTACTTGCGTGCCAACGCTGAGCCCACAAGCAGCAAAATGAGTAAGAAACAGGTCAGATGTCTTTGGAAATTTTCTTAGCAAAGGGGTAAAGGCTCAGAGAAGAGACAGGAGAATGGATTTATCCCGGACCGGTAGGTGAGTCCCACATTACAAGCTCGCTCTGCGTAACATGCGGCGACCGGATGCTAATGAGGCAATGAAGCTTCAAACTGCTTCGCCACGTAGAGACCGAGCAGGCTGTGGATATAAGTAACACTTGGGGTGTCATTGTCTCCCATCACTCCCAGATGGGACCGTCTCGTTGCAGAGAAAGAAGCTCAGGGCTCCTGTTAGTCATTATCGTGTGTTAAAATTTTCACGAAAGTAAAATGTTCGTCTTTGTGGCGCATCTGTATCTTATTTTGAAGGGATATGTAAACGTTACCATAGCGACCAGAGTCAGAGAGCGTTTGGGCAGTGGTCAAGAGGAGATGAGTAGAGCTTGTGAGTCTTAAGTCTGGTTTAGGCGGCAAGATTTAAGAATTGTCAGCCAATTCTCCAAACCTCTGTGACCACAGAGCTGATAAGTACAACAGGTTCGATCGGTTTGTGTCTCCAGCCACATGGCAAGAGCAACAAACCACACGAACCGATTCCAGTCAAGAACATCGCGATTCCAGAAGAAAATCCACAAAACTCCCAATATGGCGTAACCCAGGTTAACATAATCCTCACTAAATGTAAGCCTTTTCATAAAAATAGCTTTAAAATAGATAAATAGGACATAAATAAATAAATAAATAAATAAATAGGAGAATAGGTGTTAAAACAGTTAAAATATAAAAAGTAATTACAGACACAAGTGTTGTATTTCATTTCAATCTGTAGAGACTCACGCAGAGAGAGAAACAGCAGTTAGACAATTTTATTGGATCGATAATTTGGCACTCGGACACCGGCGGAAGATGTACGAGCTGAGAATCGCAGCTAGCTTGAATGATCGGCTCGAATGAAGCTCAGGTAGGTCTTCCCCCGGGCCCAGTCACTGGTGGTGGAGCGGACCTTGGAGAGAGGAGTCTTTAGGGGACCTGGGCTGTCTGGGAGGCTGGTGGTGGAAAGGGGGAAGAGGTGGATTGAAGCACAACTGAAGCGGGTGGATCTGTGGTTGCTTCATCTTTTAAAGGAGCTCTTGCCAGGTGATTGGATCGAGGTAGAGAGGTGGTGCGTCCTGATTGGCTGGGGTGAAGGCGTGGTGATAGGTGATGCCAGAAGAGTCTTCCAGGTTGAATTTTCGCCTGGTGCTTCATTTCAATCTGTAGAGACTCACGCAGAAAGAGAAACAGCAGTCAGACAATTTTATTGAACCGAAAATTTGGCGCTCGGACACCGGCGGAAGACGTGCGAGCTGAGAATCGGCTCGAACGAAGCTCAGGTAGGTCTTCCCCCCAAAAGAGGGTGCCGGGCCGAGGCCATGCCGTGACCTGCAGGCTTGTTTGAACCTTGTTAGGCGCACGGCAGCCAGCCTGCAAGTTCATGACAGGTGAGGCAAAGAGGCCGAGACCTGCAGGCTGATCGAACCTCATAGGCGCGACGGCAGCCTTCCTGCAACCTTATAGTGAAGCTTTGTTAGGTGGGTGGTGACGGCCGTGGACTGCAAGATGATTGAACCTTGTTAGGTGCGACGGCGGCCGGCCTGCAAGCTCATATCAAACTTTGTTAGGCGAGGCAAAGAAGCCGAGACCTGCAGGCTGGTCAAGCCTTGCTAGGCGCACGGCAGCTGGGCCTGCAAGCTCATATCGAACTTTGTTAGGCGAGGCAATGACTGCGGTGGCCTGCAGGCTGTTCGAGCCTAGTTAGTGAACGGCGGCGGCTCATGCGGGCTATTTTGAGCCGAGAGAAGTGGTGCTGGCGTGGCTTGCAAGCTGATCCGCTCTCGATGTGCAGCATAGATGTCTGTGGCCTGCTAGGCCGACTCCCTAGATGAACAATAGATATTTAGTATGTCGGAGTACTCCACCACCAGAGATTTGTTATGAATGCTTACCCATTGTCTGAAGGCAGTGAGAATGGAAGAGAGGTCTGAAAGAGTACCAGAGGAGGATGCCGCTGACGATCGGCAACTGGGTTATGACTGAACCTTGTGGGCAATGGGAGGCTGCCTGTGGACCAAATATGAGGCCTGGAAATGGCCAAGGGGAACTCGCATGAATCTTGGATTTCTAAGAAATTTAAAGACATGGCTGATCTGGAGACTTCATGCGTGAGGGATGTAGGTACTGAGGTGGGGCTTGCTGACTTAAAAGTGAAAATTGAGAACAGCGTGAAAGAGGCATAGATCCTGGACCTGCGTTGTCCCTTGAGCTTTCTAAACTAATAGATTACTAGAATGGATAGTAAACAGGCATCTGCTGAGATAAATTATGCTAGGTGATCGATGTAAGTGGCAGTTTTTCCCCTCGATCCTCGAAGAAAGGTGATTTATATGGCGCATTTCCAGCAGCAAAGCAGTGCTTTTAGAATGAGATAGGACTGAATCTTAAAAACCTAAACGTGTAAAATATATTCATATATACGAATCTACACCAATAATTAAGTATAGATTCCCCCAAAAGTCTGTACTTTATAATAGGCGCTAGAAAATGTCGCAGTTGAATTGCAGATTAAGGGAGTAGAAGGTGGCGATGAAAGAACGAATAGTGAAGGTCGAGACCCCATCATGAGGAAGAAAAGATTTCCAAGTTGCGCCAAATTTAGTTAAGGCGTACCATGATGGTGTGAAAGGCTTGAGAAATACTGTTGAATGGTTGTTGGAATGACCTGTGGGGATAGCAGAGGTAATGTGACTGCTACATGACTAGAAGGAGGAAGGCTTGGTGGGGATAAAAGGCAACTTAAAGATTGTGACGCCTGTGCGGGGACTAGTCAAAGGTAGTGGTCAAATCAACGTTCAATTCGTAGCCTGTAGAACCTTTCAGCAGCAGGCTAGCCCGAAGTACCCCGAATCACACAGAAAGGAAACACCCTTTCCAAGTGCTAATATTACTTGTCAAATACTCGTTAATGATTCATAAATTATGCAACAAAGCAGCTATAGATGGAGACTTTTGAGCGAGATTTAAAATAAGTTATATTTTCAGAAATTTTCCCAGGTTTGACGTGCACAAGGCTAAATGCTGCTTCGTTTCATTCTGGGGAGGCAGAGCAGGTCAGACCCAGAGGACCAGGGTGGAGCAGAAGGTTGATGAAACAGATCTTTAATGGGTTATAAGGAGCTAGACCGATCAGAGGTCTCTGAACAAACAGTGTTTAAGGTCTGTTCTCTAAGCTGATATAGCCGATAAGAAATCTTTGGAACTGGAGTGATAAACTGCATCTCCCAGGATTTAATTAAGACTGTAGTGACCATTTGTCCCCAAACTTAAATTCAAAAAATCAAAAACTCGAAAGTGATCAAAACAAAAGTAAATCCAACTCAAATAGTCACCTGATGCACCGTGGATTCTGGTTTACGCAGCAACAAAGGGAATCAAAGTCAAAATATAGTTCTTTGGGTTTATTTGTAGTTCAGGCAAAAGGGTTACAGGCTTCTGCTCCTATTCCTGTACCTGTTCTCTGACTAACAAAAGAAACCGATGTGACTGATTGGCTGGTAAAAAACCTTATGACCACCCACGTGCATAATAAGCTACCTAAGACCCACCTATTTATACCATGAAATACCCACATCCCAACTGAAATTAATTAACTAATTATGGGAATTCCTAATCAAAGAAATTATAAACAACAAATCAAACAAAAATTCTAATGATAAATCAACTGGAAAAAACAAACAAATAAGAATAAACTAAGCAATTTTAATTCTAAAATTTTACCAAAAATGGGAAAATAGCTCCTACAAAGACGCTGCTGCAGTTATCGATGCGGTTGGAGATAAATGCGTGGATAAGTTTCTATAGATCCTGAGGTCTTTTTATTTGTGATAAGGGTGATGAGACATGCGGCATGAATGGATGGCTGCAAAAGTCAAAGTAGCTATGGTTACCAATACGTTGATATTTAATCTACCATCTGGCGGAGTGGATAGGTCATCATAAGCCTTATAAGGGAACAGGAGGCTTGTTTCAAGTGCGTGTGCTTCAGTAACGTGCTAACAAGGTTTATAGCTGGAGAGGCATTCGTAATTGGATTTACAAATATATACCCCTGCACGTTATTGTTTACACCGGAAAGTTTGCACATGCGGACAACGGTGGGGACAGAAAAACTATTCTTTTACATACATCTCAGGGCTGCCACCATAGAATAATTCCGTTAACTCAAACTGACATGTAGATATTATTAATTTTGTGCTGTGCTCGTAGCAAAGGGGGGAAACTGTTAATGTACAACTCGAAACTACTTTCTCGCTCTCTGCATCACAGCTATGAGCAGGCTCATTGCCATAGCAACTGAAAACAATGCTGCAAAATATATATATATTAAAAAAACAGTCAAATATTTCTCACACAAAATAAATAGTTTTAGGCTTAATGGTTTGCGATTAATAATACGTGATTGGTGTGGTAACAGAAAAAGAAATACCAGGCTGAACGTCCTTAGCAACTTGACATCTCTCACAGTTACGGCACCACAGTGCCACCTTACCAGACATACCTGGCCAATAACAGCGGAGCCAGAGCAACTCCAACGTTCTCTCGACACCTTGATGTCCATGTCTCTGGTGGACCTCTGTTAGAACCTCCTCTTGTAAAGCAGCTGGCAGCAATACCTGCAGTGTTCCCTCTGTGGTTCTAGGGAGAAAAACCTGGCGATACAGAACTCCATCACGTTCCACCAGCCGGTCCC